CACCAGAATCCAACCATGACCCTGACATCAGCTATCTATAACCCAAAAGCATGTGGATGGTAGAGCAGCCTGGAGTAAGCCCTGACTTGAAGTTTCATTTCAGGGATATATGTCCCAAAATGACACCAATGTCTCTAAAATGCACTTATCTCTTATAGCAAATAATATAATTCCAAATATCATACACTTACTTTACATGGACAACTAAAATTGCTTTTGTTTGACACTTGAAACCCAATATTTTACATTTATCAATTTAAACCACAGCGGAGAATATTAGTTGAAGATATATCTTCATTAAGATTTGTAAAGATCAGGGGATGATTGTAGCCATGTTTAAAGTATACTAGTGTACTAAACCAAAGTGAAAAGTTGTGTTGTCCGTAGAAAATATCTTCCTTTCTGTACAATTAAAAGAATTTCCAAGTTTGGCACCCCCTAGTGGTAGTATAATGAGACACTTTAGCATAGACCAACCCACCAAGGTTCACTATATACTAAATGGGCTAAAAGCCACACACAGACAACACTAGTTGATTTTTTACAAACTCCTTAATAGAGTTCTTTTAACGCTGTAATCACTCAGAGGCTGTTTTATTATGATTGTGCAATATTGTTAATGAAATTGGCCACACACACACGTGAGCCTGGTCTTTTGAATGACTGAATGCATGCAACATGTCCACCAGTGAATTTTGTTGGTCACTTGGGCTTGAGTAACATTTGCTGATATGACTTGACAACATCTGTCTGGTACTTAGCTTGTATCGTATGCAAAATATATATTTTTTGGTAGTGTACGAACTTTCTTAAACACTATATATATATTGTACCTATATACTGCCTAAAGACTTTCAGAATTAAACTGTCTGTTGTCAATTGCTGTTCCATTCATCTGAAGGCCCTACATTTTGACATCAGACACTTCTGCAAACCTCCAGTGTTAATTATACAATCTGTCATTTTGTAGCTAATTTTCACTTGTGTTGTCTTTTTACTTCAAATTAATTGGAAGGAAATCTTTTTTCATTTTGCCCTCAAACAAAAAAAGGTCGACTATATTACTGGTTTAATACCAACAACTAAGAAATGATCAAATTAACACCAGAGTGTAGACGTTAATGAGGCTGTCGGATTGTTGTACAAATTATCACATAATATAATAATTCTATGATTCAACAAGATGTGAAAAGCACTTCCAGTTATCACTCTTAATCAGATCACTTGCTTTGCTGTATTTCAGTTCACTCTCAGCAGTTGAACATCACAACCTGTACAGATCAGGCTGGTGGGTTTTTTTCTAGTGAGCAGACTCGTGACGAAACCTCATAATAATAGATGGTAAACGCTTGACCAGACCACTTGAACCATGTTGAACTAAACACAAAACAGATTCTAAGACCCTGAGCTTCTGCTGTTTATTTGTTAAATAACCCACAGTTAGTCGAAATGTCTGATAATCTAAACACAGCGAGACTTCCTTAAAAGCCCTGCATATATAAACAGGCCGTCCACAGAGAGCTAACTGTATACAATAGATTCGGTCGTGGGATTTTTAAATAAAGTGTCCTGTCCTTAGAAAATGATTTTTAAAATAAAGTTGTGTCCCTGGTATTTGCAGCAGCAGCTATCATCAGACTGAACTCATTCAGGTTTCGTAAACATGCTACGTTTACAGTAGGGGAAAGAGGGAGTTACTGGAGAGTAGGTTTGCCGGTGGTAAATACATCTGACAACATTATCAAGCTCCTCAGTATCTAAATGTGACCTCATGAAGATTATTATTATTCTGACCAATGACTAAAGGCTCTTAAGTCTCAAATTGTCGATAATCAGGTTTATAAAATGTTTAAGCTCTTGTTTTGAAGAGTGTTTTTGCTACAATGATAATAAGTTATAATATTAGTGTATAATGGAAAGTGCCCCCCCCCCCTCCCTCATTACCGCTGTAGATTTCAGTAGATAGTCCAAACTGATTGGATAGAACATTTAAAAGTAGAACTGTGTTGCTGTAGCAGTCTGTGCTACTTAAGATAAGAACTGGACCGTGAAGAACATTCATGTCACTGCTCGAAGGTAAATGTTCTTGATATTGCAGCAGCCATTCTTTCTTCTTAGAGTAAAATCTTCCAGGAGATAAATATGTTGGCCATCATGACAATCATCAGGCTCTTCTTCTAACACATTGGTTTTTCATAGGATCTCCATTGGAATTTGAGAAAATGGAGATGGAGATGCTGGAGAAATAGTAAAAACAAAAAGTTGGCTCTGCCACGACAGGTAAAACAAAAGTTCAGGGTCAAGTTCCGTATCAGGGGAACTTGTAGGGAGGCATCGGTAGAGTAAGTTCACATGACATCAACCTGCTCTACAGAGAGAGAAAGTAAATCAATCTTTGGATATGTAAAAAACCCTATACACGCAACCTTCAGCCTCTCTACCATAAATGGAGCAAAATATATCCTTGTATCTCTCCAGTGTTTTGTAATTCCTGTTTTACAGTTTTTACTACTGTATTACTTTACAATCTCTCAGGATATTTAAGTTTTATTCGTTTGTCTCACAAATGTTTGACTTTACAATATTTTCTTGCAATATTTCGCCCCCTTCCCCTGCTCTGTGATTTTTGTTGTACCTACAATGTGTCCTCGGCTACATCCCACCCAGTTTTGCTCGTCAGTGATTCTCACCTCTAGTCTGCCTTTGCCTTTGGCCTTTGTGTGTCCAGTGTGTTTGACGTTGCCTCGGCCTGTCTTTCTGTCTGCGGTCTGTCACCCCTGATGTCCCTCTCTGACTCACAGCAGTGATCTAAGCTATACAGCCGCTCAGCCAGTGGAAGAACGCTGGGCACGGTGCCAGTCAGCCGGCCAGGGCGCCAGTTGGGCAGTCCATCAGTAGCATTAAAGACATGTTATCCACCCAAGTGTATCCGCCTGGCCCTGATCACCTGTCTGTCCCCTCTCCCCATGCTGCCCCCCAACTCACTCAGGGACCCCGGGTAAAGTGCACACAGTCCCTGTCTTGCTTTATCAGCACGGCTCCCAGGCATCCAGCCCGCTGCTTTAGGTCTCTTAAAACACATACACAAATAAATGAGGAGGCTGCTGGAAATAACTACCTTCTCATCTCCAGCCAAGGTGCCCTGCTGGTCAGGTCATTGTCTTTAAAGGGACAGGGGTCTAGAAAAAGCAGACCACTGCTGACCTCTACCCATTTTTTTTCGCAAAGAATACAAAGTCAGCAAAGTTAATTCCGTCCCCCTGTAATGCAAAATAGATTATATGTTCTCCAGAGGCTTAAAAGGACTATTTGTTTCCTGTTGTGACTTGGTGCTTTTATCATCGCAGCTAAAAATACTGCTGTTGCTCTGCTGATTCAAAATACCGATTTATACTGTGTCTTGTCCTCATTTAATCTGCTTCGATATAACAGTTGCTGGGATAAGGATCTGCTGATATTATGGTTTTGAGTGTAACTTAAATTCTAAAGCAGAATTTTTGCAGCTTTTAACCTTCGGTACACAAACTCCAGTTCTGGCCCTTTTCCCTAATGATCTGATTTTCAATCTAGACTTCGAAACCACTCTCTGAAAAGTGAGAAAAAGTAACACGAGGTAGAGTCATAGATATCTTGAATGCATAATACAAGTGTACCCTGCTGCCATGTGACCCTAACTAACATTAGCAGTGGAAAATAAGGGTTTTAAATTTCAATCAATGTGGACATAACTGTCACAGTGCTGTCCACATTCTGGCCCTGAAATACTCAACATATGGCAGCAATTATTAAAGAAAAGACCCATGCAGTCATCAGACTTTGAGCCTAGAACACACGGGCAAACCAGTGACAGGTGACATAACAACGTCTGACAGAGCACTGGGAGTGACTGACGGGTTGACATTTTGAGCTGCGAGTGCTCAGCTGGGATTTGTAGAGGACAGGTATGGACTTACTTCCTGTCAAACACTCAACACACACACAGACTCAAGTTATAAAGGGAGACGGAGCAGCGGCAGCAGTAAACCAAATTAATGTTACGTTATTCAAAAGCATGAAATTAGAGAAGGTACGCCCTGTGTTTGTAGTTGTTATGTCGCTAATTTAGCCAATGAATTAAAGTAGCTTAGCTAACATGAATACGGGCGCTGTGTGTAGACATCATGAGATTTCAGGTTATTCCAGAGAGGAGCCGTGACTTGAATTATTTATTTATTTTCTCTTCTTACGTAATGGCTGCTATGCTAAGAATGATAGTCTCAAGGCCTTTGTGCATCGATGGTGATACAAATAAATGAAAATGTAAATAAATCTGAATATCTAAAGACAAGATATTTAATAAATAGACGAATGATATCAGACTGGATTGAGGAGGAAGTTGTTCTTCTTCTACTACTCCTACCAGTGGTACATCGAGACGTTAGATTCTAGATGTAACGTCCACAATACGCATTCTGATTACATGTCAGAAGTGAATCCATGGAAAAAATCGACCTGGGTCTGAAAAAATTAAAGCTGCAATATTGCTTCCGCAAAATTCCTTCGCTGATGTCGGAGCTTGCGTTGGACACTAGATTAAAAAAATTATAAAATCTAAGAAGGCGAAAACAAACTTTCTTCTTTGCTTTTCAACTTTCTGAACCTTGTGAAAACTGAATCCTTATTCCACTTCATTTGAAGTGAATTCTAAATAATAGGCCGTGACTCCTCAACACACAGCAGCTGTAGAGAGAAGAGCACACCCTGTGAGGTACTTCAGCATTGAAGAGTTTCTCTGGTGTCATTATTGGTGGCAGCTGAACGAGCTTTGATGAGAGAGCGTCTGCTGGTCTGTTGAACCTGTTCAGAAATTATCACATGAGCTGGAGCTCTGCAGACTGACTGATCAAGTCAAGTAGTTTTGAACAGATCCTAATTTTCCTTCCATATGACTTGATGTGATTAAGTGTCTGATTTTAAAAAGTATGGTCTCTTACTTAAACTGCGATTGTTTCTGTTCACAGCCGTGATCGGGGACGACTCCACCTTTTTGAGGGACACACCGAAGATAAGGTAATTAACTTCACCATAGCTTTGAATCTCACTTTTGGACTCTTTGTGTTACACTTGCAGCAGAGTCAGCCTTGACAGCTTGCACCTCATCCACCAACATGTAGGCATTCATCTTTTAACATGCAATATTCAATGTGAAACATGAAAATGGTTTTCTTGCTTCAGCTTGAACAACACATCTCTCCTAATCAGTGGATGATTTCTAGAAATATATATAATATATAATATTTCAAGTGTAACAATCAAACCTGTGACCGCTTGTGGTCGGGAACCCCTGCTGAAATTTTACATCGAAGGGGAAACAGCTCAAATGGTGGTTAGCAATAGTAGGGTACGTCTAAAGAGACAGCACTATCCACTTCCATCATCTTTTACTCGTAAATCTGAACTTTTAACTTCTAAACCATCGCCAAATATGTGTCATGCCTTTAACTAACTATATCTTAACCGGTGACATAGAAGAAAATGCTAATATATCATTATTTTAAACAGTTAGAAAAACAATTCGTGCAACACAATTGAAGTGTTCTCCTGTTGTTACACGAGGGAAACACTGCACAGATTAAACCAAATGTAACTCGAACTGAATTCTTCAATCCATCATCAACTAATTTCAGAATCAGGATGAATTTCTATCAAATCTCTTGTATATCTTTTCAGCGTGAGGGCTGTCATGACACCCGACTCATTTCTTCAGTGATCAAACATCTCGCTCTTGGCCGATCAGATGGATTTCTTTGGTCGTCTCAGTTTAAGTCACCCCATCGTAAATCGATCAACAAATTTAGGGGCGTCAAGTCAGAAAACAGTCATATGACCCGTTTTGGAAGGCGATGACAAATGACAGTATTTCTTACTTTCACACCCAAAACATTTCATTTTGACAAATCCGGATTCGAGGTTGTTTTGACTCATTTGGAAATTAAGATGGACGTAATGGAAGCATTTGAATTTTCTTGATACTTGAGCCATTTAGCGTCATGAGGTTCAACATGTACACCCCTGCTTTTTGTGTTGCCTTGAACACCTCTCGTGTTCTGAAACAAGTCCCTGTCAGTCCATCAATATTTTACACACGTGCTACTTGTCATCAACATTATTTTAACCTTTATCATACATTTATTTGACAGTGGTTGTCAAGTGCTCTGCACTAAGCTGATCGCTGTCATCACTCAACTCTTTCTATGAGAGTTAAAGTTAATCTAAACACACTGGGGTATACTTCATCCATCTTTCCTTGCCAAACACCTCTCAGTGGTATTGTGTGTGATGGCAAGCTGCAGCAGTTTTGGAGGAAGGAATCATTGTTCTGCTTGAGGGCTTAAAGAGCTCGAGGAAGTCATTGACAGCACTGTTCTTCCCATTCCTTTCCTTCCTTCCTGTCTCCTTCTTTCTTCCCTCACTATTATCATCAGTCTGTATGAAAGTGCATCACAATGTTCCCATATGGCTAAATACACCAGAGAACTCAAGTACTTTGCAAGATAAATGATTCACAGTTGGAGAACAAGTGCCGTTGTAGAGCCCTCTCCACTGATAAATGTAGTTTCTATTATAAACGGCTGATGTGGGTCTTTTATAACGGTGCAGATCATGTGGTTGGTCTCATTCATTTTTTGGGAAATTATAGGTGTGATTTCGTTTCATTGATTACATATTTGCAGTGTTGTAGAATTGATGACTCTGTCGATAAGAGCAGAATGATGTATTGCATCATTTCGTGTGTTCGACTGAAATGATGCATTGCTTTGGCTGGATTCCCCAGGCTGTTGGACTCCCACTTTGCTGACAACTGTGGTCAGCCAGCTGTATGAAGAAACAAAACTCTGAGCAGTTTGTTTTCTCAAACTGGATTTTACAACTTGCAAACGGAGGAAATGGCAGGGCACGGCACAGAAAAGGTGTTTTTTTTAAAAATTTAATTAAAACCAACTTTCCGATTGGTCTACTGATAACGACAACATCTCAGTACAATAGGTTTGACAAACTTTTACAGGAACCTCTTTAGTCCTGTCAGGAAAGTTAAAGTTGCTCTGCAGGAATATATATTAAAAGTAGAGGCTGCAAATATGAAAAACTTTTTTTTTGTTAAAAATTTTTTAAGCTCCAGCCATTAGCTCTGTTCATTAGGGCCAAACACCAGAATGGTAGATTTAAGTGGATAGAGGTGCTTGAAAACGCACAAAACACCAGCCTCAGATTTGATTTCTTGTACAGAGGTGTTGAAAAAATGTCCACCCACTGCGTTCGAACTTGTAGACCTTGTGACACATTTCAACTGCATGTAAAAAAAATGTGTTCAGCACATGTTACATTCAAAGCAATAAAACCTCAGAAAGAAATCAGCTCACTTTTGAATCTCCATTTGTGTCATACTTTATTTGGTGAGTTGAATGTAAATTTCTTTCATAATGCTGGATTGCAAAGCTTTTGAGTTTGTGGATGAAATGAGTGAAATACAACTTTCTAAGGAAATGATTTCGTGGAAGTATTTGGTATAAAGATATTGAAATATTCTATGAGGTCGATAGATCATCTCAACTATTGCTGTGTTAACCTTCGAAAATTATATTTTGCAGGGATTCTCTTCATCCCCGCATTGCTTCTCCATTTCTCTTCTCCGTGCCGACCCCGTCCCACCCTTTAGTCCTCTTGCTATCCCCCCTGTGTTCCATGCAGAACAAAAAGAGCAGTTTATATTGTTAAGTGCAGCTTTACCCTCAAATGTTTCAGAGAATCATTGCCATTTACTGATTCATTACATTATAGCGACAAAATAGAAGGTTGAAGAGGTTTTGGCTTTCACCGATATACAAAATACATTTGTATTCAAATCTGTTATGTCCTCTTTTCTTTAATAGGCCTTTTTCCCTGTCCTGTGCAGATGTGTCTCTTCATTGCACTTCTGCACCGGCCAAGTAACCATCCACCGGTTATAAAAAATGTCTCCTTTGTTCTGTTTAGCAAAGGCCACCCCTTTGCTGTAATGACAGCCTGCTAGCACATCCTGTGGCCCTCTGCCATTCAGTTGTGTTGGGAGGGCTTCCTGGCAAGACTTGAGTCAAGTCTCCCATCTGTATTGAGCTGTATAACAGTTTGATCAAAGCAGACCTGATCTGGATACTCCAATGAGGGCATTAACCGAGCCTGTACTCATTATGAGGGCATTTACAGTTAATAATGCAGTGTGAACTGTCAAATTGTATCCAACAGCTCCAGTGACTGTTCACTGGACACCTTCCCCCAGAAAATCCTGTGTAGACTGTACATAGCTTACCTAAAGGATTTTTATCCTCAGTGTTGTTTCTCATCCTATAACCTGTCTTCAAACTTCTGCCTCTGTTAATAAAAGGTACATCTTGAAGAAAGTTAAAACATCTTGAACTATCACTGATGTGAATAAGCAGCAGCGGCACACGTGATTCAGCTTATTTTTAAGTAGGATTGAAGGTATTAGTGTGGGTGTAACTAGGCCTAATTGGGCTGAATTAATCTAGACAGGCACTCGGGATCAAATTATATACTGTTTACTTCAAATGGGAATTTTGATACATACATTTGTGTTGATAATTACTTTTATACATATTGCAGAAGACCCAGCTAGTTTAGTAAGTTGAGAAATAAGAAGTCTGACAGCCACATCGAAGTTTAGCTTCTTTATTCATATCAAGCAGATTTCCTGATAGATACATTTCCAGTGGATTAAAATTCGTCAGACCTTAATCAGTCTTTCAGAAACCAATACCACCGAGACAAAAGTACACTTGAATTTTAAAATCAGCATGTAACCAACTTCTGCAGTGTTAGGTATTTATAAATCTAATCAGACAAATGGATTATGACACTAGCCACTTGGTAAATAGCTAGATTTGTACAGTGCTTTAATCAAAAGCACTTTACTTCTTGACCTTTATTCATTCATTCACAAGCACCGATGACAGTGAGATGTTATACAAGGTGTTGGTCCAACCATCAGGATCATTCAGGGCTCAGTGTCTTTCCAAGAAAGACATTAAAAAAAACAATAGCTGCACCACGTAGTTCAACATAGTTGTACTAAGCCTATTGTTATGCTCTCCCCTATGTAGGTGCATTGTACTATCTTAATAATTGTCTTCATGAAATAACAGTGGAATACTGCGCCGCTGACTTCAGACCAGGGTATTTTCAGCTATCTGATAGAACAAATGATTTCTTTAGCTCTAAAGGAAGTGCCTGTGCTATCCTCAAAATCCACTCTATGTGAGGGGGTGAGTGCTTAACAGTTTCTGCAACTTTCTAAAACCAACAACTTCACGAGCACTCACATCACACAGTGATTGGCCAGGTGTGCAGGGATGAGATTTCATTTCACTCTCAAGCTCTATGTTTTCATTCTCCACACAGCTACTTCTACCACTTTCTGTGTCTAAACCAGGAATTCCTTTGAGGAGACTTTGAAGTTACCCCGATTTCAAAAAATCTGTCACTATGACTGCAGATTTTCTAGGTCGTTAAGTGTGGCCATTCTCAAGTACGATTAGGTCTGCCTTCAGACACTTTAGGTGCCATGACTAGTATGTAACAAAGCGTGCCGCATTGTTATCTATACTATATATTCCCTTCAGCGAATCATAGATGCCAGGTACCAACGCTGTAGAAAGTAAAAAATGAAAAATAAAAAGTAATAAGAGGTTTTAGCAGAATAGTGAAATATCAGCCTTCTGGTGAAAGGCTTGATAATGAATGGGGACTGGAGAGGAAAGGGAAATACAAAAAATAGAAGGCCATCAAACACTTTCAGCAAATACAGTCCTGGGAAGCCATGGAAACAGAAGGGAATTGCCCCCCACATCCACAACCATATCCATATGTAGGAGGAGGAATAGATGTTAGCATTTTCCACAGTGAAAACGGTCCTTGGACTTTCATCTTGAGCATTTGGTTGTAAGGATGCTTCCTTAGCTGAAAGGCTTGTATCTGGCTTGCTTTATTCTGGCCTTGAAATAACCCGAGTGACGA